GTAGATTAGTCGATATATGTTAGACTAAGGCTACTGGATATGAGTTGGAGTTCATCGGGTGATTTTATCGGTGGTTTTGGATTCTGAACAGTGGGGAGAAGTGGAAATCGCAGACGCTCGCTAGCAGCTCGCTAGGCGAGCAGGTCGCGAGTGTTCGCTGGCAGTTCGCTAGGAGAGTGCGCAGCGAACGGTCCCAGACTTGGGACAAAATGGTTTTGATGTCCTTCGCTTGCAGCGAAGGGAGTAGCGAGGAGCTCACTAGAGGTTCGCTGTGGTGAACGAGGTAGCGAACGAAGTCTGGAGCTTCTGTTTGAGCTCGCCAGCAGTTCGCTAGGCGAGCAAGTGGCGAACGCTCGCTAGCAGCTCGCTAGGCGAGCGTGTAGCGAACGTAGCAGGATGGGTTTTCCCTGCTGCTGTGTGTTGTTGTGGCTTGGGGTTTTGGTGGCGATCGACCCTTCTTTGGTTTAATAGCTTGTGTGCTGATTTGTGATGTGATGTAGGTAGCCGTATGACGTGAATCCTAGTTTATGGTTGTGAAGCATAAGTGTGGCCGGTTGGCAATTTTGTGCATTTGCTTAGTTTGAATAGAAATGCATGAGGAATTGATTGTGAATGTGAGCCATGTTTGAATGGTGTGAATGAATTGATTGTGAATGTGAGCCATCGTTGTTGTTATTATTATTTTGAGACCATCTTGTTGTTTATTGTTTTGTTCGCTGTGTGCTATTTTTATTTTATTTTCAGACGCTTTATGTGATTATGGATCGTAGTTGGTTGAAAGCCAATAAATTAAGTAAATAGTATGAGAATTGAGTGATACAATTTCTTGATTTCCCTGAAAAAACCTTCCTAAAAATAATGGGATTTTTTGGTGTCCTTGTAAAAAGTGCTTTAATACAAAAAAAAAACATCTAAAGAATGTTATATTCAATCAGTGTGATTGTGATGGAATTATTCAAAGTTACATGAAATGGGTATGACATGGTGAAGTGACAAAAAAGAGATCTTTGTTATATACAATTGAAGAGGATGAATTTATGAATGATACTCTAGAAGACATGATTCGTGATATTAGAGTAGATGCTTTCAAGAAAGCTAATGTTGTAGATACTTTGCAAAGAGATATGAAAGATTCATTGTATCTAGGATGTAAAAGTTTTACTAAAATGTCAACTATCTTAAGACTATTTAATCTTAATGTAAGAAGTGAGTGAATAGATAAAAGTTTCACTAAATTGCTTGAATTGCTTGAATTGTTAAAAAATTTCTTCTCGAAGGTAAAACATTTTCGAATCGTAGTTATTAGGCCAAGAAGATATTGTGTCTAATGTGTTTGGACTATACCAAAATACACACATGTCGTAATGGTTGCATCTTATATAGGAAATTTTTTGAAAACTTGAAGGAGTGCCCAAGATGTGGGAAGTCATGCTACAAGCAGAAGGACAATGGTGTTGATGATGATGATAATGTAACTAACAAGGGTGTTCATTCCAAGATGATGCGGTACCTACCAATAATTCCAAGGTTCAAGAGATTGTTTGCTAATGTTAATGGAATAAAGAATACTAGATGACATGCAGATGAAAGAGTGTGTGATGGAAAAATTCACCATGTAGTTGATTCAATGGAATGAAAGAAAATTTATTTCTTGTTTCCAGATTTTGCCCTTGTACCGAGGAACCTTATGCTTGAAATTGCTACCGACAGAATGAACCATTTTTGTAATTTGAGTACTAACCATATGTCATGGCCTGTTCTTCTCTTAATTTATAACTTTTCTCCATGTTTGTTCATGAAGCGCAAGTATATGATGCTATCAATGATGATTTCGGATCCAAGAAAACCAGGTAATGACATAGATGTTTATTTAACACCATTGATTAAAGATTAAATACTTTTTTTGGTAGGAAGGTGTTGATGTTGATGATTTATATACATGTGATAACTATAAGGTGTGTTCTACGTTGTTTTGCAAATCAACGACTTTCTGCATACGGTAATTTTTTTGCGTACAACGTCAAAAGACATAAAGCGTATCCTATATGTGAAGTTGGTACACGTTACTACCAATTGAATAAAAAGAAAAAAAGACAATTTATCTTGGGTATCAAAAATTTCTAAGACCTAATCATCCATATAGTAGGTTGCTGAAAGATTTTAATGGAGAGTAGGGATTTGATATAAATCCAAAGCCCTTAACCGGGAAGGAAGTTTATAAAAGACAACAACACATTAATGTTGTCTTTGGAAAGAAACAAAAAAATGTGGAGAAAAATATTTGGAAAAAGAGGTCGGTGTTCTTTGATCTTTCATACTGGTCTAATTTTGATGTAAGACATTGTTTTGATGTGATGCATATGGAGAAAAATGCATGTGACAGTTTGATTGGAACACTTCTCATCATTAAAGGCAAGATAAAACATACTAAAAAATCCCGCAAAGATATGGTTGTGATGGGTATACAACAAGAGTTAGCCCCAAAAGAAATAGAAAATAGAACCCATTTGCCTCCAGCATGTCACACTTTGTCTAAAAAAAAAGAAAAAAAAGTTTTTGTGAATGTTTTTTAGGGTATCAAAGTTCTCCAATGGAACTCATTAAATGTGAAGAAACTTGTTTCAATGATTGACCTCAAGTTAGTTGGCTTAAAGTCTCATGATTTTCATGTCTTGATGCAACAACTTTTACTAGTAGCTATTGTTGGCATTTTACCAAGAAATGTAAGGGTAACTATAATCAGATTGTGCTTTCTTCAATGTTATATGTAGTAAAGTTATTGATCCTGGAAATTTAGACGACTTGGAACATGAAGCTGCAATTATATTGTTCATCAAGTAAGGGAGATTATAATTTGTGGCCATGTATATTTACGGTGGATGTATCCTGTAGAGCGTACATGAATATTTTTAAAGTTTATACAAATAATCATCATCGTCTGAAAGCTTCGATCTTAGAAAGCTACATCACAGAAGAAACTATTGAATTTTTTACAAACTATTTGTCAGAAGTGAGCTCTATAAGAATTCCTGAGTCTCGTCATGATGGATGTTGTGATGATAGATGTATTCAAGGTTTAAATGTTAAGACATTTGACTGAGAAGTAGTTCTTCAAGCACATTTGTGTATATTGAATAACCTTAGTGAAGTTCAACCTTACTTGACTGCTCACAAAAATTTTATAAAGGAAAATTTTCTCCGGATGAATGAAAGATGGTTGTTGACAGAGCATAACAAAACTTTAATAAATTGTTTTAATGAAAGTGTTTCTAAAGAGAGTAGCCCATCAGATACAATTAAACGGTTGTCACGTATGCCTAAGTTTAATATAATTACTTGGAGGGCATACGACATTATTAAATATTCATTCTATACAAAATCAAAGGATGATTGTAGCACCATGCAAAATAGTGGGGTTATGGTTGAGGTTGAATCCATGTACTTTTATAGTTCCAAAGATAACGATCATGTATTAGCATCTAGAGCGTACTTTTGGGTCATTGAGGAGATTTTGGAGATTGACTATGTTGCTTTTAAAGTGCCTTTATTTAAGTGCAAGTGGATTGACAGTAACACTAGTGTAGAAACTGATGAATTAGGATTCACACGAGTTGATCTTCAAAAGACAACTTATAAGAACAAACCATTCATCATGGCAATCCAAGCAAAATATGTTTTTTATGTCATTGATCCTACTAGCACTAGATGATCAATTGTTCTTCAAGGAAAATATCATCTTGATAGTTATGATGAAAATCAAGATTTTAACTATGAGATTCCTTATTTAGCAACACATGTACATGAATCATCTAAAAAAAATAATTCAGATAATGTGCATGTTATTCGTCGTGATCACGAAGAGGAGATATGAGAGAACTAGTAAGTAAATGTTTTATATCGCTAAGTAATTTATAATTTTCAATTTACTCTTGTTTATTCCTTGTATTATAGATTTAAAGTTGTTGTTGATTATCCAAATTAGTTTCAAATGTTGTTCAAATTATAGGTGCTTAACAACCAATGACAAATCCTATTGGGCAACCTATACAACTTTCCATTTTGGTTATTGATTTTGTTGGTTAATAATTTGTTTTAGTTTTGTTGTAAAATTATAAAGTGTGTGTCATTTTGGGTTTGCATTTACTGTTAACAATGAATATTTATGGTACAATATTTAGATTGAGAATTTGGCAAAATTTACAATATTTCTGTTTCAGGAATCTACAAAATATGATTCTATATTATATAATATGGTTTTGTAATACAGGTGCATACAATAGTACTAAAAAAAATCTATCCCCTCAATTTATACAGTAATAACATAGAGATACTAACTCGGTTTTAAACAACACCGAGAGTTAATATTGGGTGCACCATTCAGTTCTGAAAATAATAAAAAATGCAGATGTTGAAAATCGAACTCATGTTTAAATCGAGGGATAAAATGACATATTTTTATGACACAACTCATTACCTCGCTTCTGTAATGAAGTTAAATGCATTTTGCGTCCGAAGTTAGATATGTTTTTTTAATAGTAATGATGAAAAATTAGTTATTTAAAAATTATTGATTGGTTAAAGAAATACTAACATGCATCCTCTCACATCTTTTACAAAAGGACTACCGATGCATATCAATTGACTCACGCACAACATTTTGTGGATTATAACTCGTGATGAAGTACTTTACCACAATATGCTTGAGATAATTATTCTAGAGATTATTTTAGTTTAGCAATTTACGATTTTGTTTGTTTTAATGAATTGTGCACATATGCTCTCATTCTCATTATTCTTTTTCATTTCTCAATAAGAAATATTATTTAATATATGGAAATCAATCTAGGGATACAAAAGAGAAATCAATTTAGGGAATCATAGATACCAAATAAGCTAAAACAAAATCTAACACAGCAGGAAAGACACAAACAAGTAAAAGAAAAACAAAAACAAGGACTCCCAAAGTCAACGAAAACAACTCAAATTATATGAATAATCGATTAAAAATAAGCATCATCCTCATGATCCACAAGCTTCCAAGAACCATCCAATTGTTGAACCATTCCCTTATTCTCTACAACCTTCCATGACACAGGTACAAGGTATTCATCTTTTAAAGCATCCCTAGACTTATTAACAAGTGCAATATCACGATTAACCTCAAGTTTGAATCCTCCTTTACTCCCTTGTGTCCCTGCTACTCCATGCAAATAAATCTCCAAATTATGCTTGCTTAAAGGATTCACTGAACTCTTCAAATACATAGATTTTGTTGTGTCAATTTTCAACTCTTCCCCAACATCTGAATACAAAACTAAAGGATAGTTTGGTACAATATCTAACTCATTTCCAATGCGTAATATCGAAAGATCTTTACAACTAGAGAAAACCTTTTGAAATTTTTTGTCACCAACTCTTGGACTTGCAAATATTATAGCTGTAACTGGTGATGCCTTAATGGTTGGGTCACTTGGTTTGTTATAACCATTTGTAACAATGTCCAGTGCATTTAGGGTTGCAATTGCAGCACCTAAACTGTGTCCAGTTATAGTTATGCTTGTTTCTTCATTCTTGTATTTTTCCACCAACCTTTTCACCTCAGTTAAAACCTGCACAAATCAATACTTATCAAAATAATGCAACAAAGCTATTGGTATTAAAATAACTAAAGAACATAAATAGACCTCTCTAGCACCAGTGTCACCGTGTCAGTGTCTGTGGCTTATGTCAGATGTGTCCGCGCGTGATAGGAATAGATTTTACCTGGTCTTTGGCACTGGTCTTATTGAATGGAGATTGTGGATCTTCAGAAGTATAAATTGAGTACCAACCTTGATGTACTTTAGAATCAACAACGTTGTTAATACCAAACACTTTAGGAGCAGGAACCAAAACAAAGTTAAGATCATTAACCCATTCCAATGTCTGTACTGTTCCTCTCCAAGCAACAACAATATCTCTTCTTCCCAACGCCTCTTTCCCTTCATCAGTAGCCACAGCAACATACCCAATCCAATTTGATTCCTTACACCAAACATCCTCAGAAGAAGACTTCACAATGAAAGCTTCCGGAACAAGGATTCCGGAAGTTGCATAAATATACTTTGTCACAGAATATTTAAAAGGATTTCCATTTTCCAGATAAACTTTCGGGAAGAAATCTTTTTTTGCATACCTACAAGAACCAGCAAACTTTGATATTTTGTCTGAGTTGAAAGCATCGTAGGTTGCTTGTGCCATTTCACCGTAGTGGATTATGTAACGTCGTAGGTCGATGTCAAGAGGGTCTAGTAGTCCTTTCCAATGGTCTTCGCCGCTGAGTTGTTTCCATCTCTTTGCTATGCTGCTGTTGCTGCTGTTTGCTATGCTGATGTTGCTGTTATTGTTGCCCATTTTCTTCTCTAAATTGTTTCTTCAACTTTTGATCATGATTCATGATTGCTTCTATGCTTTTTATATGGAACCATAGAGAGTTTCACCATAACCTTCATAAGTATTTATGTTATTAAAGAAATGATTTGCATTAGACTTTGTAAAGATAGGACAATGATGGTCTCAATTAATATAATTTGAGGTTGTCCCATGTTCTAATCATAGTATATTATAGAATACTCCCTTTGGTCTTTGATATAACAAAAAAGTTTACTTTTTAAATGTAAAATATTATTTTTATTTCCCTTGCTAATGTGTTAACAGTATATACTATATATACACAATAGGAAGGAGACATACTGAATATAACAATTAATTTTTATATTTATAGATCAATTCAATTTAAATGAATATTTAAATTTGAATTTGAATAGTAAAATAAATCATATTTTTTGAAGGATTTTTTGTGGAATATATTAAAATCAAATTCTCGACATCTTATTCAAGGAGAAAAACTCAAAGTTAGTCTTTATATATAAGGAGACTCGAATTTAGAGTTTAAGGTTGGCATGTTTTGAAAACTATTTGTGTTAAGATTTGTATTTTTAAGTCTTTGTTTGAGTTATTGTTGTGCATCACTCTACCGTCTGAACTCATATCTTAAGGCATAGTATTTATGTTAATTGTACACCACGTTATTGCTTCATTAAAAAAAAGACATAGTAGTTGGTTTGTTTAGTTGAGTTGTAATTCAACACCCTCTAAGTTGTTTATTGAAGTGTGTCACTTGAGATTAGTGATTAAAAAAAAGTGAGAGTGGTTCTCATATTTAGGGGGAGACCTAAATAGAAAGTCATTAAGATTAGGATGATGCATTGAATATCATGAGATTGATGTTCCTATAAGATTAATTGTACTAATTCAAGATAATTAATTTCTTTTTTTGGATAGAGTGCACCTAGATGTAGGTGTGGTTTCACCGAACTGGGTTAATAATTGTCATGTTCTATATTGCTTTTCTACTTCATCATCTTGTATAAGTTAATCAGTCATAACTTAGTTGTGTAATTGATTTTTACATTCTGGTATACAATGTCCTAGATATCGTGTTTGACATATGTTCCCAGAATCTATTATCTGTCATAAAACAGTTGTGCATTTGTTCCAGGCACCTTGTCCATCATTTGTCCTCCAGAGAACAAAATTCCACATCTCATCAAGAACCCTAATAAAAAACTATTTCCCCCTTTTATTTCTTTTTATAAATATGTCGTAATAATTAGAAGAAATAAAAAGCATCTTAGACTAACACTCTTATCCGCAAAACTAATTAAGTGGTTCCCGTTGGTTACAAAGGATGTCACGGGGTGCTAATACATTCCTAGTGCATAATTGACTTCTGCACCATAATTTGTCTGTGATGACCATATTTTAATTCTTCTAGGGTTTTATCGATGTTTTACCTTTTAAAAATAAACTTCGGTGGTAACTTCATTATCATTCGAGCGCTTACTCGCTCAGGTATTTTTTGCACCGCAACATATTCTCTCTTATTATTGTATTTGATTGTATCATTTTATTCGTTATTTGATAGCGTCATTTTATCGTAAAAACGTACCTTGAGCTAATCCTTTCACTCATTTAGATTGAAACCATTACAATTGTTTTAATGTTTAAGCAAATGATCAAAGTCAATTGTCTGTGTGGCTTGAATTAGAAGTCAAAAAATCTTGAAATAATGAGTTTTTGATGTTTGATTCGAATCAAGCATATAATTTACTCTAATCAATAATTTAATGTGAAATTATTGTTGAAGAAAGAGTTAAGAAAAAAAGATGAGTTCCAAGAGGTATAGAGGTTTGATCACACAAGAAAACGACATACTCCTCTCTCCAAAAATTGATATTGAGAGTATTCAATAAATTTTAAGAGTTTTTAATAGGTAAAACTCACAAACTCCATTATACAAGAAAAATTAGTTGACTTCCAACCTAAACACTAAGACTTAAAATTTAGCAATTAATTCTTCTCTTTCAAACAACGGTTAGTCCTCTTTCTATAATCGATAGATTAAAACTATTATTTTTTACGAGATTTTAGAGCGATTAGGATTCAAACTTCTAAACAAACTTGGTTATATTTCTTTAGTACAAATTTTTGATAATATTTATTTTTCATAATTAAATATCTAAAAATTTATATAATTAAATTATCTATTCTAATATGTTCTTAATATATTACATAATTATTGGTGGTTCGATTTTGTTCTAATATATTGTTTAAAAAACTGAATATCAATCAGTATTATTTTTAATCAATTCTTATAAATATATAATAAAATATAATTCCTTTTAAATTATTTTATTCTTTTTATTAAGAATTGATTTCTAAAATTACACTTCTTAATATTGCTCTCTAAACAATAGAAATTAAAAGGACTTATTAATATTAAGCGCAACTTCCTGGAAGGACTTATGAATATTAAACACAACTTGTTGAAAGGGCTTATTAATATTAAACACGACTTCTTGAACCCTTACATGCCTCTACCAACAATTCCTTATCTCTAATCTAGTTAATAGAACTCCCAAAACTTAAGGTATAATTATATTATAATAGACTAAAAAAATGTAAGACATACAATATAAAATAATCTTGCACAAGGATAAGACGATATCCTCATATATTATACTTAAATTTTAGAGTGGTTGACATTTAATTTAAAAATATTGAACGAGACAGAAAAAAATAATTAAATCTAACTTAAATATTGCCCATCATGTTCACATTCACTACCAATTTAAAAAAAGAAAACTAAAAACGAAAAGAATATAGTGCCTCAAGCAAAGGATCGCCCTTGAAGAATTATCCTAGCATTGCCAATTGCAACCATATTTTATAAACCTAATTTTAGTGTCAAGGCCCCGTCAAGGTATATGGAGGAACAATATGAAGTCAACTAAGAGTTAAGATATTTTTAGAATTCGAGCATGTATAATGCACAACTTAATAGAATTTGAATTTAGGTCATGCTTAGATTATAATACCCTCTCTCAAGTAATTCTTTTAGAATAATAAAATATCTCAAAATAAATGCGGTATTTTATATTGAATTTCAGTGTCGACAATAATAGTTTCATAATTCGATAGAAGTTATGTATGCTAGAGTTAAAGTTTATTCAAGCATGCTGTCGAAATATGTTAACTCTGTGTTTAAGTTAGCATGTCGAATTGAGTCTTACCTGTAATTTCAATTGTTAAGTTAGTTTGTATTCTAAGTTAGTTTAGTAGAGATCTATAAATAGACTAGTTCGTTCAAGTTGTTTAGAGAGGTTAATTGTCGGTATTCACTTGTAATATTTGAACCCTTATTGAATAAGTGAATAGAAAAATAGTTTTAACCAATTCTTATTTTTCTTCTTCCTTCTTGTCTATCTTTTATAAAACTTAATAGAGTTTCTTGTGTTTGTTCAAAAAACTCAGTCTTTTTTTCATATTTTGCTTTGTTCTTGACGACATCAATTCACAACAAACTGGTGAGGTGAGCGTGGAGGAGAAGATGCCGTCAACAAAGTACAAGATTGAGAAATTCACTGGTGTGAATGATTTTGATTTGTGGCGCTTGAATATGAAATCCCTTCTTGTTCAACATAGTTTGTTAGAAGTGTTGAAAGGCAAAGAAGATGAATGTTGCCCTATCAGAGACAGAAAAGACAACGATGATCGAAAAAGCCCACAGTGCCATTATGCTGAGCCTTGGTGATAAGGTTCTCCGGGTGTGTGGACAAAAACCTAAAAACATTCAACAAGAACAACATAAACAACAAGAACATAAATATTCAATAATAACATGAACAACAACTACAACAACAACAACATAAACAACAACAACATTTAAGATTGATATATTATTGATATAAATTTTGCATACTGGAAATGTGATGAGGAAGTAAAAAAGCTAAATATTGTGAGTTTTATCCTTCTTTCTTGTAAGTTTCTTCACGTTCCTCTGTGTTTTTATTTTCTTTGTATGTTAAGCCAAGAACAATAATGATGGAGTTTCCCCGTGTTCTTTGAAGAACAATATCGATGACACAAAGATGATAAAAAAATAATGTTGAACGAGTTAAGTTGTGTGTGCGTTTTGTTTCTTTAATGGAAATGAAAAAGTGGTTAGATCTCAAATGGTTTCTCAGTGATAAAAAAATGGAAACTGAATAGACATTACAAGCTAAGTTGTGTTTCTTGTGTCTAAATAAAACATTTCACCACTGTTGTTTAAGCTAACCGTGGTGATATCTGATTCATTTGATTAAATTTTATAAAGAAGACACCAATTTTTAACCATTAAAAACAAAAGGGAAAATATATCATCACAGTTGCTCTAATTAACCGTAGTGACATTTAGAGTATTTTCAAATTAAAAATAAACCAAAAAGATGGGCGTCGCTATAAAAATAAAAAACAGTAAATGATATCACCACGGTTGGATTAATCAACCATAATGGGTTTATATTTAATTTAAGAATATTGGGAAGAACTTCTAAACATATTAGACTTGTGTGATTCATGTATAAAGATTTATAGAGATTGGAAAACACTTGGGTAAAAAAATAGGGTTCGCTCTTGGGAACTTCGATGACTAATTTCTTGTAACTCAGTTCTAAGCTTTTGTAACAAGTTTTGGAAGTATAATGAATCCATGAGCTCCTCCCCTCCCCCCATTAGTAGATTGTTTGATTGAAATGAGTAATCAATTCGTTGTGTTTATTATCCTTTATTTTCTTCTATATTGTTATGGATTTTCTTTCACTTTAGAAATGTTATTCTTTTGCTTTAAGCCATTTAGTTTTGTTTCCATTGTTATTTGTTCCCACACATCAAATTTGTTGGTTTGTTTGAACTCTAAGTAATTCTTGCAAAGTGCTTTAAATTATTCTATCATTTTTCATAACATGTGGCACCCACTAGGAAGCAAATGGGTATTGTTTACAAGTGAGTACCATAGGTAAATGGGGGAT